CATAATCGTCATCTTCTAGTTCACGCCAATGATGATAACTATCAACCTCAGCATTTTTGTCTTCAACAATTTCGTCAGTGGTATTCCGTATTAATTTTCCCTTTGCCCATTCATCATCTTCATCTAAACGCCCAAACTCCTCTAACGCTTCTTCTTCATCGTCATCATATTCTTCGTGTACATTAAGTCCTTTATAATTTGAAGAGCTATTATAAATACTCGATGTATTACGAGAAGGTGTTAAAGTATTGCTATTAGCATATTTATTGATCGATTGCCGTTGCGTATAATTGCTGATTCTTTTGTTAACTCCATATGTAGAACGATTACCACTCGAGGTCGTATTCATTGAACGACTTTTCAATGGCGCTTTGATTGGTGAATTAGGCTTCGTATCTGGATTACCACTATATGCATCTAAATAGGACTGAGAAGGTTGATAGATATTTGGACGCTCCTTAATATAATCATAACGCATAGAAAAATGTTGTAAAATCACTCTTTTCACAGCCATAGCTGATTCGGCAAAGTTTGAAATTTCACGTGCTGATTGATTACTATATAAAAATCTTTAATCAAAAATAATCATTTTTAAGTATGAAACTGAACTTACCGTCTTATATTACCAGGTGTTCGCAATGCCTTACGACGATTTTCCATTCTTACACTATTTAGTGGTTCTTCTTCGGATATTTTAATCCATGAATGATTTAACACAGCTGCAGCACTTAAACGTTTTGGTGCTTCCTTGACAAGTAAACCACAAATAAGATCTTTTGCTTCGTCACTAACATCTTTCCACTCAGCTTCGGGAAATGAAAAACGTCCTAAAATATTTTAATTATGTTGTGATTATTTTTTTAACAATAATGAATATTTTAATATATATAATTGTGATGTTTTCTGTACTCGCTTACCTTCTTGAATGGACTCAAATAATAATTCTTGGCATTTACGACAATTTTCACCACGATTCCAACCACAATCCTCTTCACAATTGCCTGAAAAAGGCGGATAGCCGCATAATAAAATATATGCTATAACTCCCAGCGACCATAAATCACAACGTTTATCATAATAATTTGCTTCACCAACAAACAAATCAACGACTTCAGGTGCCATAAATTCCGCACTACCGACTGGTGTCAATAATTGTGGTGTAGCCGCTGGCGAAGATATATCAGTTGTGAATTTAATGCCAGATCCCAAATCAAAATCACATATCTTTATTGGGCATAACTTATCCGGAAATACACACAGTATATTTTCTGGCTTTAAGTCTCTATGTGCTATACCCTTCTTATGTAAAAAGTCTAAGCCAGATGCAATTTCTTTAATTATTTGAGCAGCTTCATGCTCGGAAAAACAAATATGCTCCTGAATACGTGTTAATAAAGGACCACCGTTAATCTGTAAAAAAAATATTTTTATAATAGTTAAACATTTTAATTGATGATGTGATTAACTAAATTACCTTTTCAAAAACTAAAAAGAATTTTTCATCATCTTCAAAGAACTCAATTAATTGCAAAATGCCTGGATGTCCCTGACAATGATGGAATGTTTCCACTTCACGGAAAACTCGCGCACGTGCATGCCCTGGTATCTTATCAATCACTTTAACAGCGTACTCTAAATCCGTGTAGATGTTGACACATGTCTGAACTGATGCGTAAGCTCCTTCACCAAGTATTTCGCCAGTCAGTTTATAAAGCTCTAAAAACGAAAACAAATTTCTTTTTAGTCTTTAGTCTTTATTATACCACTTTAACTGATATTAATATGCAAATTAGTTTTAATTAAAGAACTGCAAAGATATACTATATTAAAATGCAACTGAAAAATTATTATATATTAATATATATTCGTAAAAAATAAAAACAAGTAATAAAAATACATAAATATATCCTCGTCGTATTTCCAAATCGTATAAATTAGAAAATAAAAAACGATATAGATTATAAGAAACCGACCTATCTCAATAGTTGATGCTTCTTGCTAAGGAGAGGTCTCTTTAATATGAAATTATATGTTATTACAAAAGGCTCTATATTGGTCTAACTGTTAACGAAACATACTGATCCATAGCCACCATAACAATCGACTCACCTTGATTAATTGCTATATCATCCAGTTTTACTTATAACAACTAAACATTGTTAATATAATTTACCTTGAAATGTTGAAGAATGCAAAGAAGAACTTGTACGTTTCTTCTTGCGTCTTTTTTTTTGCATTTCCTCTTTATGACGGTTAAAGTCCGCTTGACGTTCAGTTTCCGTCATTTTTGGAGCCTCATTGGATTCGTTACCTGAGACATCCTCGCTACTATAACGTGTTATTTCATTGCGACCGCCTAAAAACAATTATAAAAAGACGTATATTAATATAATTGTGTATTATTGTGTTATTAAATTTTTATGAACAAACAAATGAAACTATATATGTAAATTAAATAAAGTTTTATACACATGTTTATACTCGTATTGTATCCCAGAGACGTTGACGTTGTGTAGCCAATAAATATTTTGTTAAAATAGGACAAATTGAAACTTTTATAGATAAATATTAGAACAACATACACAGACCTATACAATGGTGTACACAAACACTTTCAGATAAGATAACTCAAATGCAAAGCTCAGCTGTGCAAAAAAAATTGGCATTGATGACTACTACCAACTAAAAATATACTTTAGGTTATTAAATCAATTTTGTTTTTTATCTCAGGGTCAAAATGATATTATACTTAACTAAATAAACTAGTACACAGTACACATATTTAATATGTACTAAAAGGTTTTAAAAACTTTCCATTCTTCGTCATCTTATTGTTTTAAAAAAAAAAGATAATATATTCATTTTTTATTAATGTAAATAATATTTTAAATGTAAAACAAAATTTATGGTTTAACATAATGTAATTTATGCGTGATCCTCGCTGAAAAGACGCAATTTTCTTTTAAGACGACAATTAACGATCCATATTTTCTAAAAATAGGTATTTTTTGTCTGTATTTTTAACTTAAAATATATGATAATAAAAATGCGTCTGATGTGAAGAAATGAACTTTATATATATATACAATATTTATTTAATATACACAACATCTAACTACGCATTTTCAAAATGTTAATACGGGATATATATTCTAAAAACAACTTTTGTTTTTACATTTATAATATAATATTTATTGTATATTAATCTCGTGAATTGATTAAAATTAAAGAAATATGTATTAATATGATATAATGTATAGGTACGGGTATGGGTCTGACATTATTTTAAACAGACAGAATTTATTTTTAGTTAATAGTGGGACACAATTATTGGCTGAATTATTTACTGTTAATTTTTATTTGTAATTATTCAGGTTTATGTATTTGTATTAAAATAAAAAACTATAACAAATTAAAGAAAATGGTTCAGGAAAAAAAAAATTACTATCAGTACAAGGTTTATTAATATTAAACACAGATGGACGAAATTTTATGACACACTTTAATTATGAAAACAAAATTATTTTTATAACAGAAGAAACATGACTACTGCCATGCCACAGAATGAAAGATTCGTTGTAAATCAATTGGTTTGATTGAAATACATACATACGAATTAAACATACCAGTTGAAGATATATCTGAAGGCCGAGTGATAAAGAGAAAGAGATATAGTACACCATTTTTGAAGCCGGTACTTCCCTTTATAAAACCAATATCTTTTAATCTGGAAACACTATCTCCAACACTTCAGTGAAAAAAAAAACCAAATATCGCAATGATGCAGTTAGTGGCGTATGTGTGTCGACATTGGTCGATAGACGTAGAATTAACATTTCCACTACAATATTGAGGAAATATTTTTTATTATATTGCATTTCAATCGAACTAAGTAAATGATATAAATTGCAATCTTACAATCATTATATGTTTAAGTATATTTTTGTGAATATTGAACAAGAGTAGATTGACAAATTATAACCAATTTCCAAACGACTACACTAATTTATAGAACTAGAACTATAAAACAACTGCAATTGCAATAATATCTGCCTGCTTGCCATTGTGATATTAAATTATTTAACATACACGAAAGTTTTAAGTGAAAAAAAAAATAAAAATCTGTAAGGTGTATCTACGCTCAATTTTTACACATTTTCCAGAAATGGAAACAGACACAGTAAACTATTACAGATATATCCACACACCCATTAAGACATGGTCTGTGTGCAACTTATGGGTATGCAATACAAAGAAATATATGAAATATGGAAAATATTATTTTTAATTAAATTAGAAGATTTATGTTTAATATTCAAGAGTAAAGAAAATTGTATTCAAAGAATGGTAATTTTTAGATTCGTGAAAGAAGTAATGAAAATTAATAAAAACGAACATAACATCACACAATCCTCAAGATAATATAAATGTTAGACATCAAGTTTTAATTATTAAAGTATGGTATTATTATATCATACTTTATGATATTTTACTCAGAAAATTCTGCATCATTTTGCAATAAAAATAAAATTTAAAAAATTTATGTTGAAACTATACCTTGCTCTAATACAATTAGTGACATTCTTTCAACTTGCAATGTTTTCCGGTACTAAATACTCGCGACGTATACTATATATATGACCGGTGTCGAAAGAGTCTAATTCAAAGTTTAATGATTTTATATATAATTAAAATGAATATAACAAGCTCATGAGTAGATAGATTATAACTATTTTTATATAATATTCGTTTATAACATACGTTTTAATATAGATACGCCGACAAAATCGCACGCTATTTATTTTTTATATTTGATGCCATTTTCTAGGTTCTACTGCATTCTTATGAATACGTTGAACCTTCTTCACAAGTTGCATAGATTTAAAAACATTTTAATTAAAATATAAAGTAAGAAAAAAAAAATATAATACTAAAAAAACAATATATAGAGCCGATGACTGACTGCATATGTGTTATTTAACAAAAGCAAATAGAAGCATAGAATTGTGTGAAAACAAAAAAATGAGGGACGGATTAGACTATCAGCACAAGGTTTATCAGCATTAAGCACAGAAAAACGGAAATTTATGACACACTTCAATTATTAAAATTATTAAAATTATTTTTATAACACAATAACAACAAAATTAATTATTTAAAAACAATGTAAGTAACTAAAAGTTGCTGCAACAAGTGAAAGAAAAAGTTATTCAATACTTTAGAAAAAAGAGTGAGAACGTAAATGCAATTATGTAATTTTTTTTAGAGATTGTTTCCTACTTGTTTGCATCAATAGGTCTGTTCCACGAGCTACTCATAGTAACTTTGAGTAAACACTGTGTATACACAAGCGCGTTCCACCAGCAAATTTTCAAGTATTTTTTGTAAATTTTACTTCTGTTTTACTCATATGTTACTATGAGTAGCTCGTGGAACAGACCTAATATTGCTAAAGTAAACATACAAAAAAAGCTTAAAACTACTACATATAACACAGACATTTTGAAATTCCTAGTCGTTGTCGTACATTGTTAAATTGATATGGATATTTATGCTTATTTAATAGATATATATACATAAATATATAATTTCTCCATAACATGATGACAAGTTCTTACTTTAATTTAGGCAAAATAAAAATACGGAATCTGAAATAGAATATGCGTTAATAAAGAGGATCCCACTCATACAGAACCGAACTATACCCGTTTATTATAGTTTTTACGAGCAAAATATTCCACTGTACTCTAAGTTGATATAACTTTAAAATTGCAACTTTAAAGCGCAGTATCTTAAAAGTCAAGCTATATCTTATGGGAAAAATGCTCATATACTAAAGTTTATCAAAAACGCCGTTTAGTGGAAAAATTTGTTTACCAATTATACACTGAAATTAATACAATTATAGTACAACAAAAACAATACTAATATCTAGTGCGTTATAAATATAATTTCAGTAAACTTTTTCTTTGCGTTATTTATTTAAGTCAGCTAAATTGGTAATCTAAATTGTGTCTGTTAAATAAGTAGCAAAAATACATTTCTTTAAAAAATATATTGTACCCTCTATTAGATCAAATTAAAAAAATGCGGAGTTTATTTTTTTTATCAATTGTTTGTTTATTTGCTTTTTTTAATATTTCAGTTAATTCTATAAACATCTATCTATCTATCTCTACACTACACATTCATGTATATTTACAAAAAACATTCGTACACAACAATCGCACTATACATAAGTATAAAAAAAAAACAAAAAAAATAAAAGATACAAATACAATAGAAAACATTTTATATGCATACACCCAACACCCAACCAAGCGGCCGGCTTAGCTTGACTTAACTTGACTTTGACTTGGGACTGTAGGTTCGTTCGACTACGACTCAAGCTCTGACTCTTGCCACAATTTTGTTTACTTATTTTATTGCGTCTCATTTATTATAAATATGAGCTCTAAAAACAAATATAAAAATTCTTATACCTAAGCTGACTTACACAGAAAATATCGTAGATATTTTTTCGCAAGCAAATATACATATATATGCATATTTTGTAGATATTTTATAAATATGTACTTTAAAAAATTCAGAATATGAGTAAACTTTACACAAATGTTTAAATATATATATATATATACATATCATTACGCAAAATAAAAAAAAAACAAAACTAATGAAGTTGAGGTGCTAAAAACGGCCGATTATCATATTTTCAGATAGACAAAAGAAAAAAGGAGTTGCAAATAAAACATATAAAAAATATCTATTAGATTAAATGAAGTAAGAAAGAATGAAAGAAGAAAAAAAAATTTTAAATAAGTTAGTGCAAAATAATAAATGAATCAAACCTGATAAGAGACACACAACATAACTATAAAGAATGTAAAAACAAAGATAAAAGTAAAGTGGAATTTTAGACAAAACAACAAAACGAATATAAATTCATTTAAAAATAAGAATATTTACTATGTTTGTAGGAAAAAAAAAAAAAAACAAATTTTAGATTTAGCTTTGCCGAAGCTTATCATAAAAAATAACTGGACAATTACATTCATGGGCGTACACAGGTCGGGGCTAGGGGAGGTGGGGGCGCTCGCCCACCCTAGATTTCAAAATGTTTTTATTGTTTTGAATAAAAATTTATACTGTTTACAAGAAAAGTTTAAAATTTGTCTTTTTTTTGTGAACAAAATCTAATTTTCCAGTTTTCAATGAACTATAACTATGGGTGAAATATACTAGCAAATAAAAGCAAAAAAAAAAAAAAAAAGAAAAAAGTACTAAAGAGGGGTGCCTTAGCACACTTTAAAATATATAATATCATATCAGTATATCAGCGCCCTCCTCTCCGATCCC